AATGTTAGTAATATATATTTTGATCGAATGAACTTTTAAAGAATAAAAAAATGTTAGATACAAGTTAAATTTTTTCCTCTAATTCTTAAAAATTAAAAAACTTTATATACTATTCTATGATAATGTTACACTCACTAATAACAAACAAATACAACATGTAGTTTATTCTATCAGAATATACTATTACATATATTCTTATCATTCTATAATAGATTATTCTGTCAGAATGCGATGATGAATAGTGTATTCTTTTTGGAAGATCGGTGACCATTGAGCATTGTTTATCTCTATCCTACATACATTCATCCAACCTGCAGCCCCTGATCATCATGTCATTTACGCATTCTATGAGAATAAAAGCCATGAAATCGAATTATGTAAGAATAAAATTATGTAAGAATAAAATTATACGACAATAATAAACCAAATTTTAGTAATTCGAAAAGAATGGATACCTTATGGTTAGATTCTAACCACCATTTTAGTAACTCTGACAGCATAACATTATTTTCTTGTTCCAGTAAAATAGTAAACAAACATAGAGAAGATTAGTCAAAACCAAGTGACATTGTATTTGACGTTGGATAGATTGCAAAAAATTGATTGTTATAATAAAAAAATATAAACAAAGGAACCAAATTAAACACGACGAACATATTAATCAAAACCAAGTTGCATATTATATTTGCGTAGGTTTTGATTCAAAAAGATGAACTGCTACAATAAAAAAGTATAAATAAAGTAATTAAAAATTCACATAGAAGATTAGTCAAATTATTTAATTAATGTATACAAAAGATTAGCCAAGAACATATGAAAAGTTAAACTAATAATAATTAAATTCATTGTTGCTGAACACTCTAAATCAATCATATATCTTTTAATACAACTTTATTTCTTGTGTGCTTCTGATTAGCTTGACCTCAATAATCACATAAGCATTATCACTTACCAAATCACTTTTTGTTGAGAATCAGAATGGAACTAGTGATGGGGACAATTGACTATCACAAAAGCATCGTAATCAAATAATATAAACCCCAAACGAGGCTGATGTACGATAAAAAAAACATCAATTGAACACACAAAATTAAATCATAAACGATTATATATGGATTTAAAAAACCATATACCACAGAATTATTAGGGTTCTAGATGTGTAACAGTGACCATGATGATGATGATATCAATTATAGAAAAGAGTATACAAAATCTGATTGTCATTTAAACAACATATCTCTAAGGCAGATGAAGGAGAAATAAATTTGCCTAAATTCACGACATAGGGTTATGAAGAACATCTATGTACTTGCGATGAAGGCTTGTTGGTGCCGGAGGTGGGGAAGGAAGGAAGACGCTGGATGATGATAAAGGCGAATGGGAATTTAATCTGATGTTCCATTTTGCAAGGTAGGAAAAAGCTTGGTAACACCATCCTCGACGTCGAAGGGGACCAACTTCGGCACTCATATCTTCTTCAATCGTGGATGGATTAGAACCATTGCGAGTGAACGATTGTGATAGGAAGAAGACGACATATGGTTGTTGGGTTGCAACGTTAGGGTTAGGCATCTGTATTTAAGGGAAATCAAACTTATTTTAAGGATTTTAAATTTGGAATATAATTAAATGTACTATACATATTGACTAAAATACCCTTTGTTATTTAATTAATGATTTCTTTTTTCCAAAATTCTGATTGGTCCATTCATTCACACAATAGATAGTAAGAATATTTGAACCTACCCCCCCCCCCTCTCTCTCTCTCTCTATATATATATATATATATATTATATATATATATATATATATATATGTGTGTGTGTGTGTGTGTAAAGAAAAAGAAAGAAATAAAGAATCACGAGAGAGTAGAGAGTGAGAAAGAAAAGTTTCAGTTTGGAGAACCCATTATCCTTTCCATCCGTGGTACCCGTATCTTCTTGAAGCCGTTCTCATGAAGGTATCACCACTTATATTTCCCATCTTTTTCTTGATACCGTCCGCCCTAAAAAATGATACTTTTCCTTTTTACTTACATAAGAGTAAGATTTTTGGTGTTTGTGTTGAAAATTATGATATAGTTCATATGGCTAGTTCTCTTATGTTGTTATGCCTCTTTTCCATTCATATATGGACACTACATATGTGTTAACATGAGGCTAGGCAAGAATTGGGAGTCGATTCTTGTCCATTTTCTTGAAATGGGTTGGATGAGGTTTTTATGGGTTGGTGATAACGATAATAAGAAATTTTTGGGTATCACACCCCCAGTCGGCGGCGAAACACCAGGTTGTGCGACGAAGTCATGGATCTCAGTTATTGAACATACATTGAACAGTACAAAAATAACAACATAAAAATACATACATATTTTAATACGAAAATAGAAGTTACATTGTCTCGATGTATTATTATATGTTAGATCAAAATATGATACATGCCTTAGCATTCAGACATGAGCATAAACAAGGTACAAAACTGTGTTTGATAAACAGTTATCTGAGCGTTCCAGTGGGTGATACTCCAGATTTTTATTTTCATGAGAATACATGCGATTTTAAAAACGTCAACATGATGTTGGTGAGTTCAAATGTTTGTAGCATTTGTATCGAAAGTACTTTTATGCCAAGAGTATGTTCACTGAATATGTACTTTTATACCAAAAGTATGTTTACGGAAATGGTACATTTATATCAAAAATATGTTGATTGAAATGTACTTTAATACCAAAATTATATTTATGGAGAGGGTACCTTTATAACAAAATTATGATTATGGAAATGATACTTTTATACCAAAAGTATGTTTACCGAGAGTCTACTTTTATACCCAAAAGTATGTTTACTGAGAGTGTACCTTTATACAAAAAATATGTTTACTGAGAGTGTACTTTTAAAACAAAAGTATTTTCACTGAGAGTATACTTTTATACCAAAAATATGTTTACCTAGAGTGTATTTTTATACCAAAAGTTATGATTACGGAAGGTGTACTTTGTACGGGCAGAGTAACGACGGAGTAAAAATATTTTATATTTGTACAGACAACGTAACGACAAAGTAAAAATATTTTATATTGTACGGGCAAAGTAACTACAGAGTAAAAATATTTTATATTGTACGGATAAAGTAACGACGGGATATAGGTAAGTTTTTGTAAAAATAATGCATTACCATAATATAACAATAATGATTGGTATATAATGAATAATTAATTAAGCATGTATTCTCCCCCAGAAAATAGTAAAATATGGGATTGAACTCCCGCACCTTAATATCATAAGTACAAAATGCATGATCCATAATATATGGGATTGAACTTGAAGAAACGTAGATCAGATACAAACAAGTAAAAGAACAATTAAAACAAAGTTATCAGAAAGATGATTTCACTAATAATGATTCCCATAAAGAGAATCAGCACAAAGCGGCGATTAGGGTTTGTTCTGGAACAACCCAATTACAAGAATATATACTTGAACCTTAAACAGAAATCCTGACTTTAAGGGGATTGATTCTAATCTAAATATATAAACTGATCCTAATCACTAAGATTTTGGATCAGTTAGCTAACAACTATAATTATTTTAATTACATAACACAAACTAAAACAACGGTACAGAAGATTACACGCTGACGCTGAGGCTTCTAAGTACTTGCACTGGCGCTGGTGGACAACATGTATTAGTACTTACATCATCAGATTATAAGGTTTGACCTTACAATCTCCCTTAATCTGATGATGTCAAAGCTAATTTTAATTGCACTCGTCAGGTTCATCCAAAATTTCTTGCTTGATCCACTAGAAGTTTTCACCTTTAAGCTCTTCGATACGCTTGCTCAGTTATAGTGAGATCAACCAGTGATAATCTTGTTCCACTTCTTCATGCCCCATGCACTCTAGACGTAGATGAAACAAATGCTTAGTGGGAGTACTGTGAAGCTCTTCAGTGCGTTGAAAGCACATCTGATTTTGTTCATCGAGATATAAAATGTCTTGTTCAGGCTCCCGAATGAACAAATGTTGAATCAGCTCAACACCTACTGGAAATCTTTTGTTAATGTAGACAGTGCCAAAAGGAAGAAGGAACTTAGCATTTTTTTTGATTTCCTTTGCTTTGGAGTTGTCGTTGAAGTAGAAGGCTAAGAAGGACTAACTGAAGGCACTATATTCAGCTTCTTTACTTTATTGATCATTTGTTGCAGTGCCAATTTCAGCTCCTCAACATGAATACCTTTATGTTTAGTAATTATATCTTGAATCGGAATCCACTCGCTGTAACCATACTTCACCAATTCATGAGCAAACACAATCTCAGTGTATTCATACTCAGTCTTCTTTTCTGATCAGATGAACCTTCATCATTTCTTCCTTGGGTTATTACACCTAACCTTGATGATAGGGTTAGATTTAATTCTTTGAACAAGAACATTCTCAAATTTCTTCCTATCAATGCGAACATTCAGCTCCGAAACCCTTTTTCGTTTAGTGACCATATTGTTGAAGCATTGGAGATTTAACCGTTATTCATCAATGCCTCCCTCGGTAGAGGCATACTTTTGCGTAAGCTTGGAGGAGCGACATTCAACATTCTCCTTTTGCACTGAAGCATTATGCTCAGTTTGTATGACCTCCTCGATTGGAAATCTCGAGTCCCTAGAAAATGCTTCTAAGTTAACCATGAGCTTTCTTTTCTTGATGGGAGGAACTGAGGAGCCTTCACCTTCAGCGTCATCAACTCCCCCTAACGAGGAGGCCTTCCTTTTCCTTGCGATGAGATGATCATCATCAAAATCAACATCACTATGAGTGCCTTGAGGAATCTCCCCCTCAGGAAGAGCTTCTGGATAAATAATATTTAGACGCACAACTTGTAACATAAAATTCATATCCAGGAAGCCTTCATCATCTTCATCATCTTCGGTCTCAGGCTGGCCATCATCACCTTCAATTACAAACTGATCAGCAATAGTGTCATCATGTTCTTGTTCTTTACCATTCTACTCCTTTTTGGCATCATCAATATGTTGGGGAGACACTAGAGGTGTGTCGAGTGGTGGAGAGGGAATTAGGGAAGGATGATTTGAAGGAAAGGGAGGTTGAAATGGAGTGTGGGGATTATTACTAGCACGAGGTGGTGGTGACAGTTGATGATCATCATGTGGATAACCGAAGGGAGAATCCGCAACCTCTTCAGTGCTATCCACCATGGATACAATGCACTTTATGTCAGCCACATCATCTTCAACATTGCTCAGTTGCCGTTCCAGCGACTCCGTCAAGTTTACCAACAGTAAAAGCTTAGAAAGCATCGTTGATGGAAAATTAGATAAACTTGACTCCCCCCTAAAAAGTAGCAGCAGCTTGAAGTGGAGATAAATGTGGAAAAGTAACAACAACTTAAAGTGGAGATGACTTAGGAATACTAGTATTAGCATGGGGAGGTGTCGATCCATGATGTGTAATAGGTTCGTGTAGATGAGAGAGTGATGTACAAGAGGATGGAAATCGAATGCGTATATTTTTGTATTAGAAGAGGAACGTTGGCTAAAATTGGAGAGTGAGATAATAGACCTTCAAAACCAGACACGATTTCACCAAATACATACTGAGTGGGTGAGGTTTAAGCATTTTCATGTATCTGTGTTGCTTGAACAAGCACATGAACCATCTCAGTATCTGCACTATTATAAGGTGAATTAGCACTGAAGTCGCTAGAGGAACTGTTGGATTATTCATCTTCATCTTTGTCAGCTTCAGATTCTAACATGGGAGCTTCCTGAGAATCCTCAACATTATAAGGATGTTCTATCCAAAGAATCATCCGTTGAAACAAATGAATATCTACATTTGTAGGGCCATCATTGATTGTTTTTTTAGGATAGGACCAGTGTTGGACTAGATGCCTCATGATTGATATTGCACCCCATCCCAGCATGATCTAAAAGTAGAGCAAGCCAACGAGGATATGGCACATATGTTGGTTGCTTATTATCGATGATGCACTCAACCAGTTGATCAAAGAATAACGGAGCGGAGTCTAGATCCTTGTCTCGGACAATAGCATATAAAATATGTAACTCAAATAAATTCATCTGGTCCAAACTACCGGTTTTTTGTCCGAGACACTTGGTAATAACCCCTATCACATACTTCCAGCCAGTTGGAAGACACTAGCGAAGGGCATATTTCGTAGGGTCACGACAACCCAAAAGAGAAAGATCATAACAAATTCGTAGAAGAATCGATCGACATTTATCTTCAATAGGAGTCTCTTCATAGATCGCCATGCGAGGTAGACGGAGAACTTGACGCATGGTCAATGCAAATATATGAACCCTAGAATGGCCATCTCTAATAGTTCCGGAGATGGTTCGAGGATTTACGTCAAATGTAGATGATTAATAAAACTCACATACTTGTTTTGGGAAGAAGGATCTGGAATATCACTGAGGGCATAACGTAGGGGACAACATTTCCAGTATTCAACAAAATCTTCAACGACAGAGTCTTGATGTTGCAGTGGAATGGTATCTGTGAAGGCGACGTTGTTAGCTTTAATAACAATGGGAGAATCAAGGGTATTTGGGGCTTTTACAACGTTTGCAGCCAGAACATATGCGAATAGAACTGGAGCCATTGTTGATATCTGAGAAAAACTTGAACGGAGTTGCAGAACTTGAAGCAACGAAGAAGATGAAGATGAACAGAGAGGGTTTTAGATAGGTTTTGCTTGGAAAGATAAATAATGTGACCTAGGAGAGAGAAAACTCTTATTCATATTCAAAAATCCCTCACCTTTTTCACGTAATCATTATCAGAGAAAAAGGTGTTGTAAATATCTTGAATCCCAAAGTGACAGTTTGCATTCTTATCCTCATCTGAAAACTACCGTTAAAAAGTTACCGTTAGGATCAGCGTATCACATGTTGTAGCACAAGCTATTAACGTATCATGTGTTGCAGCACCATCTATCAGCGTATCACGAGTTGCGGCGGAATGATGGATGGGATGGTGATGCCTCACAATAATATGTTGTTGTACTATAGATCATCGACATAGTATTATAGAGTATCATCAACGTATGGTTTTATACGCTGAATCATTAAATTGTTTTATTAGAAGAAAAAGGTCGAGAGTGGAATGATGCGTGTAATATATCACTATACATGATATACCCATCGACACTGATTTTCCAAATTCTCATCAGTGTCTGGTATCTTACGCTGAATCATAAAATTTTTAAGAAGAAAATATGGCCAGAAGGGGTTGGTGCGTGTGATAAACTACGTTATATAACTTAACCATCGACACAAAATTTTGAAATTTTATCAATGTATGTCATCATGCAGTGAATCATTAAGTTCCATATTGGAAGACTTGTAGGGAGATAGTTAAAAACTTGGAAATATCCATCGTCAATTCATAATGGTACAATGTTATACCTCAGTATAGGAGGTCAAGGACATAAATAACCCTTTTTCATTTAAGAACATGAAAAGTAACTCTTATGTTGATTACAATGCAATCAGGGTAAGCCACTGGGTAATTGCTCAGTGATTCAGCAGAACACTGGACTTGTACATACGACGAGCATGCTTCTAGGGACGTAGTCAAGTAAGAAACAATTAACCAATAAAATAAGCACCCAAGCCTTTGAATAATTTCTGATTTGGACCAGGCAGTCTTATGCTGAAGGATATGACAATGCATAACAATCAGTGTGACTGAGTGACTCAATGTCATCTTAGCACATGGTCTCAGTGATGAGATACTTAGAGATATTTAGGCACATACAACAACATGCTTGTAGGGATAGATTTTTCAGTAGTTACATATTGTCAATTCATTGGGACAAGAAATAAGGGAGAAAAGATGCTGAATATACAAAAATTTGTACATTTTAAACAAGAGAATGGTGTTTATGGCATTGTAAGCATGTCGAGTTCAGCGATTAACTTATTCGGGGTCATCTCATCCAATGCCTTGGTAAAAATATCTGCCAATTGATCAGTAGTTGGAATGTAGAACAATCCTGCTTTTCCTTTCTGAATGATATCCTTGATAAAGTGATGACTTATATCGATGTGTTTGGTTTTAGGATGCTGAACTGGATTCTGTATCATCAAAATTACGCTGGTGTTGTCACAACATATATGATTTTTGGAAATTTTAAATCCATAATCTATCCAAAGAATCTGAGCACAACACCTTCCAACAGCCACATATTTCGCTTCAGTGGTAGAGCAAGCCATTGAGATTTGCTTTTTGCTAGACTTGATGGGTTTATTAAGTTACAACTAAAATGCTTAAGCGGAAAATCACTTAACAATTACGATTGGGCACATACAACCTAATTAGGATCTATGTCTTCACATTAATGCAACATACTTTGAATAACAAAACTATAACATAAACAATAGGAATTTCGAAATCTAGAAATTAAGGTTAAGGGTTTACATACCTCAAACTTGTCGTAGCAAACAAGTTACTTCAATCCTTCCTTTGAAGAGCTTGGAAAGCTATCACCAAAAGGTTGATGCCTCTAATTTCTCACAACCAAACCCGAGAACTAGAAGACACTTGAGAAGAGAGGAAGAGAGGTAAATTTCGTTCCTAAGGCTTATGAGAAGTGCATGAACGAAATTAAGTGCCTCAAGGGGTCCTATTTATAGTTTAGGTAACTTAGAGACAAAGCAAGATTTGAATAATTAAATAATAGATTTAATTTCAATTCAAATCTTTTCCTTATTATCATCCAAGAGGCTTCTGGAAACCCTAGAAAGGCTTCCCAAGACATCCTCCCCAGTATGGTTCTAGAATTGCCTCTTTTGTTCAACTATTGAAAAATTACAATTAACCCCCTGCACCTTTAATTAATTCCATTTAATCCCAAATTAATTCCAAATTAGATATGATTAATAATTAATTAATTCTAATTGATTTTTTTATTAATTTATTAACCTTATAAATTAACAAATCAATTGTTTAACTATTGATCTTATATTAATTTATTAATCACATAATAAATTAACAAATCAACTATCTATTTCCAATTAATATATTAATCATATAATATATTAACAAATCATTTCCTCACAATATCCAATTAGTTTATTTATCATATAATAATCTAATAAATCATCCTCTTTCTATAAATGTCATTCTAATCAAGTTCTAGTTATGAGGGCAGCCTAAAAGGGACTTTGCTTCTAATTAGAGGAATATACCAATTTAGTTACTAGCTTAGACACCTTAATCCAACAGTCTCCCACTTGGATAAGTCTATAACTACAATGGTAAGTATAGAACTTGAACTAAACAGCAAATAGTGTTTTCCAAAGCCACTGCCAAATTCTGAATCAAATAAAAAACGTTGTCCCTAAGAGAAGTGATCAACTATTCCTTCGTTCCACAAGATATCGTATGAACTGAGTCATGGATTAAATGATCAACCTCATGTTCATTTATTGGTTTCCCGATTTCCTGATTTGTGATCAATTTATACTACAAAATCGAACACATCAATTTAGTCCAGACCAGACGCCTAGTTTATCATAGATCAACTCAAATCACCGGGGGGCCTACGGATATCAATTTTCCTTTTAAGACAAAAGGAACAAATTACTTTTACTATATAGTCATACACTTTACATGTTAATTCACACACAAAATAACCCTTTATAACATCTAGTTACAAGATGCGTTTGAACAAACCAATGCACAACTGATCTGTAAATTATGAACTATACATCTCTGCATTAAGAATAGAAAATATTATCATCTTAGAATTACTTGTGATTACAATCCATGAAGTAATCTCTAAGCATGGGTTTATCCAATACTTAAAGTCTCTATTTTCAAAGTACTCGTGAATATTATAGCAATTCCAACTGCAATGTCTTAACCTCAATCGACAATCTACAGTCAATTCATGACAATCTTAATTCACTACTTACTTCCAAAAGTATGAACGACTATGGAATTTTGAATAATATTTAAATTACTCAAGGAAGTAAAACATGAAAAGTGAAACACAATAAAAAATTAATTGACTATGACATCATACCCATCAATCATAAATAAATCCCTATAATTTAATCACCATAAAAATTACGAATTTATTAATTGTATAATTCTTCGAGTAATCAACTAACCACTTGAATTAGATAATATTAGTCATGCCATCTTTTAAACATGCATACTATGCCTCTCGACAATCCTTCTTTTGTGAATAGATCGATTGGACATTAGTCCAACAATGCTCAATTCACGATTCTAAATTCTTATCACTATCTATGATGTAGTGGAA